ATAATATAGTATTAATGTATGTGATAGTTTACCCGTGTTTACAATACATTTGGGTGAAAAAAAAAAAAAAAAAAAAAAAAACAGAAATACAGAATGTTTTAATTTATACATAATAATATACCTAATATTGAGTATATATTCTTGCACAAACAACGAATAAGGGTTGATCATAGATGATTTTTACCGGAATGGACTTAACATAATTTTCGTTCGGCCAATAATTGCAAAATTAAAACAATTATTTGTATTGGTAAATTRTTGGTAATTATTTCTTAGAAACACATAAATGACTTAAGAAGGCATCAAGTTTACATAAATCATAACGCATCTTGAGCTAGGTGACAATTTAGTATTTGGTGACGATGATAAGCATAGATACTTTTTAATTTATGTTTTATTTTTTATCTGATCTAATAGTTTAATGTTCAATAACAACATATTTTACACGGCTGTTATATAATGTACAGGACGTGGTCATGGGTTTTCCGGTTGTCAGCATGTTAGCTATATATACTCGRTGTATCTGGGTAAACACCAATGCATCCGCTATAAGGGCAAATCAATTATGTTTATGATATTTTATTTGTAAAACCTCTATTGCACTCGATTACGTTTTTTTTTTTTTTATCAAATCCTTTTCAAGTAGGTATTATGTGCTATAATATTATYTTCAGACGCTCTTGAAAAACATAATAAACACATTATATTATGTTGTACCAAGCTCATAGATTGATCAGTCCGAAATGTTTGATCAATGTATAAATTTGTGTAGGTAAAATTGACTATTTATTTTGAAATTGATTGATAAATTGATAATTATTGCAGGTACTTATACGTTAGAAGCTGAAAAATGTCTGCAATTACCAATCATTTTGATTTTTTCAGCCATATTATATTATATTTGATTGACTAGTGATTCGAGACYCTAATAAATTATACTCAAATTTTATTTCATATAACTATATCGTATTTTGGACTTCGTGCATTCTCATTGCGCGGAAATAATTCATTGAATTTAAATATTATGTATTAACTTAAAATAGTCAGAAAAATATTCTGTATAAAATTAAAGAGTAGATTAWACAAATGATATTTGTCACAGTTCATTAAACTTGGATTTGTTTGAACAGTATTTCGACAACGATAATTCGGTGGCTGAACCAATCAGGAGAAAAAAACCTTTTTGCAACGCATTTACAGGTAAAGAAAACCTTAACTAAACTATAATATTATTTATGTTAATTGAAATTTTTAATAACATTGAACAATTTTATAAAAACAACATATCTATTACATTTTATATCATTTTTATAAAACTCACTTGTTAAATATTATGAAAATCATAGGTAACATATAAAATATGCAAAACAGGGTAAAATTAGTTAATAATAATTGGGTTGCCATTATTAATGGGCATAATGATATTTATATATATTTTTTTTTAATCGTATATTCGATTTTAAAAATGTGTGTGTGTGTGTGTTATGTGACTTTTATGTATATTTATGATTACAGGTTAGTATGAATTTTTATGACATAAATGTGTTATTAAATTAATTAATTCTGTAGGTTGTGGTCGTAAGAGATCAGATGAATCAATGGCCACCTTGGTCGATCTTCGTTCAGAACCGGCTGTCGAGGAAATTAGCAGGCAGATAATGTCTGAAGCTAAGCTCTGGGAGGCAATTCAAGAAGCCCGACTTGAATTACTRCGCCAACAAAGACAAAATAAACCAGTAAGTTAGAGCCACAAATGAATATGTTCAATCTRTCGTTATGATTTTCAAATTACATTGTACCTATATAATTGTATTCCAAATAATTTAGCGCAAACTTCAAGTTATACAGCCATCAATATTATATGCTACTTGACA